AAAGTAACTTCGTGTCCTCGAGGCAGAACTGGACTCCGCGAGTACCCGGAGTACTTTTCATTCAATCGACATGCGCGCGTCGCTTCGTTAGCGGAAAAATATATGTTAATTGCGAGCGCGGCGTCGCGCACAACGCAACATTGTGGCGCACGTAACGATCCGTGTAACGATCGAGGCAATCATCGGCAACACGTCGATGATGATACCGTGAACCGTCGGCGTATCAATGAATTATCAACGACGAGCCCGTGACTCTCTCTCTATTTATTTCTGTCGCAGACACCACGTCGTGCTCGATAATATCTTACCTAAATCAGATTACGTCAAGGGTTGAAGAGCTAATAAACAGATAAGTTTAAGGAAACGTCCTTCGCCCGATTAAAGTGATTGATAAAGTGCGAAAATACGAGTAGTCTCATTTGTATTTTAATTAAATTGACACGTAAAAATATTCTTCGAAATGAAGAGTTCCTTAATCGAGGGGGATTCAAGTAATAATACCGAAAATAATCAAGAATCCACACACGCATTATCTAAATTTGTGCAACACGGAGGAAATTTCCTGTTAAAATTTATCCTGAAAATCATGTGATCGTGAGACAACATGACATTTTGAAGAACTTTATGAGAGTTTTTTTAAATTTTACCATACATTTTACTAGTAAAATATATACAAGCAAGTCCTCTATTATGAGATAGGTTTCTAATACGAGATAGCAGGTTTTCAACACCCAAATTCAATCACAAATCTTCTTTCGCTACGATCTAACAATGAATTTTCCACTAAACAGCTTTCGCTTTCATGGCGGAATCAACTGATATCAATTTAACAGAAACTCCGATATTAGAATCCTGTCTCATAATATGGGATTTTACTAACAATAAGTATAATTGCTAGTGAAATGTCTGGCAAAATTTCAAAAACTCTCATAAAATTCTCTGTAATGCCGCGTTGTCCCACGATTACATAATTTTCAGGGTAAATGAAAAAAAATTCTCTCCGCGTATAATCAGGTCAGTCATTGTTCGGAAAAATATTTTCCGATTAAACAACTGAAAAGAGTAATATTAAACGGTGCTACGAAAAGGAAGCAAAGTGTATCTGGACGAGATTGCAACGGTTCACATCGCGGACACACACATTGCAACTGTAACTTCGTCCTAAATAACCAACCGATCGGTGGGGAGTACCGTTAACGAAACACGGCGATAAATCTACGAAATCTGAAGAAGGGGCCGAAAATCCAATACGAATAGCGTAATTTAGCGCTTTCATAAATAGTCAAGACCGACTTGCCGAGTGCCACAGGTAGAAATCGATAACGTCCGTGGAGCAGCGCCGTCTTGCGCAACCCTCGTCGTCGGCCATTGAATTATTCATTCATTAATTTTCGGTAGCTGTCCGCGCCAGAGGATCAGCGAGCGCGAGTTCGTTCGGCCGAGCCGACACTCCGTCTCCTCTCCGTGCAGAATCTCGAAGCGTCGCCGGCCGGACACGGCGCGGGGCCACGCAGCACCGGTAATGTTTTCATCAGCGTCTCGGGAGAATGGCGGACCGTATTTTAAGACAATAATTCTCGGCCCGGTCGATGGCCCGGTCGATCCGCCGCGCGGCGCGGCGCGGCACGGCGCTGCGGCGTCGAAACGGGGACATCGGCCCTTTTGATCGTGCCCGGAGGGGCCCGTCGAGGGCCGCGCCACGGGGCCATTATCGACCTTTAAGGACCTTGCTGCGACTCGTGAGGACCGGTTACCATAACCGCACGTATAACCGCTCGCTACGCCGGGAGGAGGACCTCCCGGAGGTGTCGTACAATTCCCCGAGCGCGGCCCTCTCGGGGCCCAGGGCCCTGAGCGTATTTTTCCGTGCTTCGTCGACGTCACCGTCCTTGCGCGCCCGACGGTGTTCATTAAATAAACCCCGACGCGGTGACTCGATCATCCCGTTCGAATTAGAATCTCGCGCATGGCGGTGGCATTGAAGAGGGAGATTCCGGCGAGGTCTTAACTGAACGACATTTTCGCATATTAAAGCGAATATCTGCCTCTATTTCAGGGCAGCTCCGAGTAAACTCCGATTACCTTAAGCGGCGATTAACTTGTCGAGCAATGCCCGCGATATTTTGTTAATTTGGATGGAATTATTTATTTTTTCTTGTTTAATATATGGGGGAGAAGATTGGGTTAGGACGACGATTTATATAGTTGCAAGTTTGATCGATTAATCGTCAATTAAGTTAATCATTTCACAGCCCTTAAGCCGTACATCGCGAGCGTCGTTTTAACGGCGTAATCGTTCCCGCGTCACACCGCATACAGTTACGGACGCGTGAGCCGCGTTATTAATTTATACGCGGATACCCGATTATGCGATTTTAATTTACAAATCACGCAGCTTCCGCCGCGATCGGCACCGACGGAATCGCCGGAAGGACGCCGGGAGTCGCGTGCGCGCGCGCGCGTCCCGCAATCGCGGCGCGCTTTTTCCATCGCGGCGTCGATCGACTGATGAATTTTTCATCGGGTCGGGAGATGCAAAGTAGCTCGCCTCGTAAAGTATACAACACGCTCGTTATACATTCGTACGGAGGCCCCGTGGCACGTACGTATCGGAGACGCGCTCCTCCTCCGCCGACCCCTGGCGCGCCATTCCGCGCCGCGCGGTGCGGTTCCCGCCGGTCACAAAGAGGATCGTTCATCACTTGCAGAAGTCACGAAAGAAGCGCGGGACCACCTCCCCTCCCCTCCCTTTCTCCCTCTTTCTCTCCGCAGGACCGCCGCGCGTCCGGGAATGCGGCGATTTTGTTTGCAAACGATCCGCGCGCGGATTCCCCCCCGGCTACCGCAGAAAAGTACCGGCCGCGAAATTGAATTCGCCACAGCGCGGCGCGGCCAGCTCGCCATTTTTCGCCCTGACTAATCGATACGGTGATATCATAGTTCCGCCACCCACGTGGAACGCCGTAGGACCGCAGGACCGCGACAGATCTACGGCGGCGTGGCGTCGCGCATAATAAAGACCGGTTGCGGGCGAACGTCGACATTTTTTCAGTCACGAGCGAGAAAACTAATTAGAACTTTTCAAACTAATTATATTTTTCTACCAGCCACCGTAACCGATAATTTGCAGCGTCATTTCAATCGATTTAAATTTCGAATGAGGCTTTAGAGACAATGTGCTATCGATAACATTAACGATGCTAATAATGATACTAGTAATAATTTGCAATCAAATGCAAAATACACATGTAAATGAGGGGAAATGATCATTCGTCCGTGTTCACAACGAATGTGTTAGTTTTATACATTTTTACATAAGTAGAAATGCACGAGAGGAATAACGTTTGAAAGGAATAGTCGGCAGGTCCGCGATACGAAATTGCTCGCAACGATATGTCGAGCCATTATTCCCTCGCTCGGTAATTTTACAGCGCGAGATGGGCGTAGGAATAAAGCAGCCGCCGAAAACACGACGTCGAAAGCAATTTGCTCTACGGGTGTCTGAATTAATCACCGGCCATGCTGCCGAGCCGCTTAAATCGCTCCTATGCGCGACGATCATTAATTCAAATCACTAGGTTGAACTACTTTTCCTTCCGGCGAACTTCCGACAGCGCGGGAGAAGCTCGAGAACCTCCCGAGTGTGATTCGACTTCTGACTTAAATTCAAGCCGCTGGCGTAATCCGCGTTTCGAAAATTTCCTCGCGCGAGTGCCGCATATAACATTCACCCGGAGACTCATGTCGGCGGGCATTCATGTTCCTCTGCGATACGCAAAAACGAAAACACGCGTCGCGCAGCGAGTTTACACGTTTCGACGCTCGCTTATTCATGACGAGCGTATCTGTGCGTTCGCCGGGCGAAAATAGTCTACTTTTACCTTGGCGTGAAGACGAAGTCTGTTAAGTTAAAGAGTCAGGCTACTATAAATCAAGAGCAAGTCATAATGAAATTTTTACAAAACTTAAAACTTTGTCCACGAAACCAAATTACGCCGATAAAAGTGGTGGGGTCGAAGAGTTGTTAAAAATTTTTTTATCCCAACAAGACAGGGTCCAATCGTGAAAAATAACACCTGTTTGTGGTACCAGGGGCTTGCCGTGCCCCGCCCTGGTAACGCTGGGTTAAGATCAAGCCGAGCGAAGCGGCGCCCGCGTTGCTCGACGAGAAAACGCCGAGGGGCCTGCTCTCCGCGAGGGATCCCTTTTTCTCGAATCGCGCCGATCCGTCGCCTAATCACGCAAAAACAGCGATCTTTGTGATTCATCGCCGGTAGATCGTAAACGGGAAGACGGTTTATAGATCGCCGGGGAAGGCGCCGGGGAAGACGCTCGATAACGCGAACTTACGCGATAGTCCGAGGGAAACGACGGGAAGAGAGAGAGAGAGAGAGAGACGCCAGGCACTTAGAAATTTTTATCAGTGTATCGTGTAATGCATTGAGCTAAATCGGCGTAAATTTTTCAGACGCACCTCTGATGCACCGTGGCAGCAGCGCGGTGAGAGGATAGTCACGTAGTCGATCTGCATTCAACCTATATCGACGTATCTATGTTCATCGATGCATATGTATGCATGCAGATCGCGAACGTGAGCTCCAATTACATGTGCGAGAGATTTAATAATGTCGCTCAATAATAATAATTTCCTATTTACGATAACGATTAATCAATTTCTAATAATCGTCAGCCACTTAGATCGCCTTAAGGAGTGTCTTGCAAACGTAACAGCGCGCCCCTCACGTGAAAAGATAATTCTTTCAATTATTCTTTTCAATCAATTGTCAATTAATTTTTTTCGTTGTCATTTGTCAAAAAAAAAACGCAACGCGACGATTCAATCGTCAGCAATTGATCTTGTTAGAAAATTTGACGCGTTTAATTTGATAATGCCGTCATGTATTTTACTCTAACCAACTCTGGATGTTAGCGTCGAGGCAGAAGAATCTCTCCACGTGAGGACTGGAAGCGCACGCACACACACGCACACCGCCGCGTACCTGAAGAAGTCGTTCCTGCAGAAGAGCTTCGCCTCCCTGGAGAAGCACTTGTCTTGCAGCGCGGCTCTGCAGTCGAAACAACGCACGCACTCGACGTGCCATGCACGGTCCAAAACGTTCAGCAGGTACTGATCCATTATCGGTTTCTCGCATCCTGCACATGACAGGAGCATCGCCAGACCGCGTCTCCCTGTTGAAATTAAAAGAGAACACATTACGCACCTCCGTCTCGCTGCGGCCCCGTGGTCTTACGACATGACGTTCAGTCCCGCCGTACAAGCTCGCTCAATATCCCTCCCCCTCCTCCCCCCGGCCCTTTCGGACGCTACTCGCTTCCTCTTTTTTCCCCCCCTCTCTTTCCCTCTCGTCCCGATTTCAAGGATGAAACTCGCGAATCTTTTTGCGCTCCGTCAAACGACTCGATCTGGTACATCCAATTCGAAAATTTCAATTGAAATTTGATGAAATATTAACGCACGGTTATTAATGCACGCGCGGCGGACACAAACGTTACGTCATTGGTTCCGGGCAAAGCTTAAATTAATATTGGTTCTGCACGCAATGCTGAACATTTCGCTGTAAATATGCGCTACGCATTCCGCGTAACGCAACGCCGGCTTTACGCGATTTAATGTAATCGCGGATGCATCGCGAGATTCAAATCGCGGCGTACGTTTCAGTTTATAACTCGGAGAATATTCTCCTTCTTTCCCATCTCGAATAATGCAACGTTACGCGGTGCTGAAAGAATGAAATATCGCCGGCGGTCGCGACACGCTAAATCCTTCTTTCTGCGCGACACGCGTATTTATTTATAAACACTAATTTCCGGCTCGCTCGAAACGCCCGTCGAGTAATTATCACAATGGAAAACCGATCGGAATTATGCGCGAAATTATCCGCAATGAGTCGAATTAAAATCACACGCAGATGCGCAAAGTAAGCGCGCGTGGCGGTGATTTGTTATTAAAAGAAAAAAAAGGGAGGAGAGGAATGGCTTATTAATCGCGTCGAGGGCACCGATCGAAATGTTCGGGAGCCTTTCGAGCGTGGCGCGCGTTTTATTTAGAAAGAAGATTAAGCGCTTTCATTGTAAGAGCGCGCGTGCATAACGAGGCGTGCATTGTGCTGGACTTTTTTGTATATTCGACGGTTAAATCGCCGTACGGATCTGGTTGACACAATCCGGACCGGTGTAAAAATACAACAATGCGACATAATCGCCGTACTAATCACGTAAAGCAGCAACTAATCCGATCTGCGGGAAAAAATTCCCGTTTTTACAAGCTGATAAGATTGATGACGAAAGTCGCGTGCCCCTTTCAAGTTTCGCAGATTCTCTAATGAATTTGGCGCGGACGATTCCTCCAAGGAATCTCGACGGCATATCGCGGCACCTTCTGCAAATTACATTAATCCTAATCTGACGTTATTTTTCCCATCTTTTTTGACGCTACTGAGAATGTAATTAAGTTCTTTTTCCTCCGCAATCAGAAAATTTTAAACAAAGAAAAACAGAGAGAGAGAGAGAGAGAGAGAGAGAGAGAGAGAGAGAGAGAGAGAGAGAGAGAGAGAGAAGCTGCAGATGCCCGTGCGATAATCCACTAAAATGTTGCAAACAACGAAACGATCGAATCGTTTCTCCTAGTACAAACGTTGCTAAATTACGAACTACAAGTTTTTGAATCTAGATAGTCGCAAGTACAATTACCACGTGCATAGCAACATTTGGCATTGCGAGAATATCTGCGCTGACCGGCTCGCACGAGCCCCCTAATTTCTGTACATCCTAATTTAGATCTTTCTAAAGACAACATTTTATTTTATTAAAATCACTATCGTTACACCGACATTACGCGTAGGAATATATTTGTTGAATAATTACAGTTAAATGCCAACTTGATTTATACGACTGTATCTTGTAAATGTATATGATGTAAAGATTACGGTCGTGAGATATATATTTTTAGTTTAGTTCTAAATCAAATGGCAAGTAAATTAAATAATTGCAAATTGAATCGTTGACGATCGACGACGACCGTCAATAGAAAATTCGACAAACAAGAGCTTCGTTAAACGAGTCTTTAAATTTATCAGGGGGGAGAAGGGCGCACATTTTCTGCCGCAACCCTGTATGTACATCATCCATTGTTAATACAACAGTGACGATTAAACATATCAAAAATTACCGAGCGCTAACTGAGGTTTCAATTACTACCGGGCGTCGTTCAGTAATTTAAGCACGGCAATTTGAACAATGTAAAATATCGCGGTTAAAATGTTTGCGTTACGATCGCCGGAATGGTCAGCCGAAATTTCAGCCGTTTCGGGCCACGTTGCGATTCGCTCGTTCGCCTCTAATTCGCGAGAAAGACGGAGGCCGAGGAAAAGGGTGAACGTCTCGAGCGTCGCGACGGGGTACCGCGACCATAAATCTCGCGGCGTTAAACAAAAAACCGCGGATTATCGCATCGATAAATTTAACGATCGCGCTTCGGCATTTATAGTTGCGCAATCTTTCATCTGGCTAATTTCGCGGTCGCTTTTTCGCGCGCCTCTCTTTTTCGCGACCGGGCCCCACAGAGAATAATTATAATTCGTCGTTAATTAACATTCGCGAACGAGACTGCTCTTTCGCCCTTTGCTCTCGCACTCTCTTTCTCTCTTCCTCCTCGTCCACCCCCCCCCCTCTCTCTCTCTCTCGCTCTCTCTCTCTCTCTCTCTTTCTCCTACATTTTTCTCTTTTTCTTTCACCCTGCCATTATCCCTTTTCCTTTTCTTCCCTTCGTTCGCCCTCTCGCCGTTTTTATCGCCATCGCTGAGACCCACGGAACTCACCCTCCTCTTCCTTTTTTTCCGCGGTTTCCGCCAATGGGCGGAGTCCCTCTGCCTGGCTGGCAGGGTTGTCAACCTAGCAACCCTCCTCCCACCCTTAAGATCTGACCTTGCGCATCTCATCCCTCTCGCGGAAGGGCGAGAAAGGCGAGGGTGGCAGAGCGGCATCGACGTAGCCCGTGAACGTTCGCAAGTTAACTTCGAGATCGTAAACTATTCCGCGTAATCGACTCGCATGCGCCCACCGCTAATGCTCGACGCTACCACCCTGGCTTGATACAACGAAAACGGATTACCTGCGCGTGGCTGGCGCAGATCTTAACGTTAACGAAAAGAATTTAAAGTCCCTCGCTTCGATTAACGAATAATCTCACCATTATTGCTTTCGAAGTTTCTACCTTTTAATTTGCAAAAAGCGACAATCTTAATAGAAAATACATACAGAGCCCAAACGACAAAGGGAACAGAACTATTGATATCTTTGCCGCAATTATTTTTCAAGCAGCTCGGACGCATAGTATTTTTTTATATACTTTTTCAACATTGATCTGCCGAATTCATTTTTCGTGTATTGATATAAAATTTTAAAATAATTATAACATTACCGGACGTGGTAGAAAAAAAGCGAGAGGACGAATTTGGCGCACGACTGTGTAAAATTGTAATATAGCGATTAAGATCGTGAAAAATACACGTTTCCCGATTAATGACGTATATTTAACATAGAGTTGATTTTTTTTAATCGTGACGAATTATAGTCATTTAAAGGTAGTTTTGCAAAAAGAAAGTATGGCCGCACGTTCAAGCGTTAAATTGTTATCTAATCACGAAATCAATAACGTAAATTAAGGTAACGCGTTTAGGAACTAATCTCGCGTATAAATACCACGTGGAATTCCGATATTATCGCGTAACGAACAACTTAAATGCTTGAATAACGGTCTTAACGAATATAAGACACATACAGGGTGTCCACGCGTATCACATCAATGCCGATTAAGGCAAACTGCTCAAACGACATTATCCTCGGCAGAGGCATTAGAAAGTACTTAAAAATAATCCTCAATAATTTTCTCCCTTGACACGCAAACTTAATTTCACGCACATATATCGCTTGCGGTGAAAAGGTTTCCAGAGAATAACAATCGTAAAATACTTTTACCTCTTATTCTTACGTTATTTCGAGCGCACGGAAAAAGATTTGTAAAATGATTCCCAGCTTTATCAAAATATTTATCTGCCGAAGTATCGAAATGCCCGTCACTCGTGCGACCGCTTATCCGAGTTAGAAAACTAACTTCGCGTATGACGCCCCGGCTGGAAAGAGTGAGAGACGGGAAACCGTAGGAAGACCTAGTTAGTTGAATCGCATAAACCAGATTAGGATTAGCGGGACGTGAGAAGAAAATCCTGTTGATCCAGCGACATCGGATTGCTTAATCCGATTTTTTCCGGCTGGACGTCACTGCTCGCGTCATGCCGGATCTTATTTTGTTCCGTCGGAGGAGACTTTATCGAGACGTCTTCATCATAAATGCCGGAGCAATCGCGACAGAATAGCGTGGTGAAAAATAAACCGAAATCTAACGCAGCATTAAGGAAGAACGTTTAAAAAAATGCTCAAATATTCAAAGACAGTTTCAACATGAAATGTGAACTGATGGGTTCGATATAAAAATTAGCATAATAGTCTAACGGTAAGACGTATGGGCTGGAAAGAAGTATCAGTGAAAATTTAAAATGTATCATTCCAGGAGAAATTCTCGGTTCTATTTATATCTAGATCATCCTCTCGCTCGTACTTAAAGATAAAATCTCGAGGTGTGCTCCGGCATGGAAGTCAAGCCTTCTGACTTTAGCCGATAATGTAATTTTTCATCGATTCATCAGATCCGAAATTAAGGCAATCAGAAACGTTCCGCGAATATAAATATATTCGTATATAGATAGATCGAATATAGATGTATACACGGAGAAAGAATTTTTCTCTCACAATTTACCCTGAAAATCATGTAATCGTGGGACAGCGTGACATTTTGAAGAATTTTATTACAGTTTTTGAAATTGTTTTTAGTTTAAATACCACGTTGTCCCACGTTTACATGGTTTTCAGGTAAATTAAAAAAAAACATTCTTCCCGTGTATAGATGTATAGATAATATATACATGTATATAGAATAAAATATGGATATCGGCAACTCCACGCGCGTACATTTCGACATGCGCGGTCTCACCCTCAGACACACGGAGGGGATGAAGCAGAACAACGAATTTCAGCGAATTACCTTAATCAGTCTAAAATCACCTACGTCAAGCGCATCCAGAGATTCGCAAACCACCATCGCGGTGAAAATTACTATTTTTCGAGAGCCGCACCGGCGGCGAATCGATTTGCCGACTTCAAAGAAGAAAAACGAAACGAAGAAATCGACTGGCGAAGAAGAAAAAAGAAGAGAGGGGGAGAGAAATGGAACACTTGAAAAAGCTCTCAAGAAGATAGGACTTTTAAAAGTTATCTCGTTAATTGTGTTTAATTACTTAAGGCTAATTTCGAGATCACGCCAATTTTTTGCGATCCGTGATAAGAGACAGTTCTCGACGACTTTGGTACAACTGTAAATTGGGTAATCAGCACTTTCTGCTCTTTCTAGAACGGATGACGAATTAATTCTATAAAACTAATTGGTGGCGTTAGGACTTTGTGTAATCATCGTCCGATGGCATAGAAAACGAAGTACTTTAAAAAGAACCTTGTGAATATACACGGAAAGAATTTTCTCTTAAAATTTACCCTGAAAATGATGTAATCGTGGAACAACGTGGCATTTTGTAGAACTTTATGACAGTTTTTTGAAATTTCACCATACGTTCTACTAAAAAAAAATGTATACTAAGCAAAATTTGAAAAACTTTCATAAAACTCTTCGAAATGCCACGTTGTCCCACGATTATATGATTTATAAAAGAATCGTGTAACCTTTTTCACGTAATATTTGATTATGTTTCATTAACTCAAACTTATATTTAAATTTATCGATTGATCTCATTTCTTTTACGCGTTTACTTGTGTAAATAAATAAGATAAATTCTTTTAAGACATATAAAAAGTACTGATAATGAGAAGAAATCGACTTTCTACACAAAATTTTGTTAATAGCAGAGGAGAAGAAATAAACGTGTATTTGCCGTAACATGTGTGTGTACGATTATGCTCAATATTGCATATTTCACCACCGCGCGCTGTTACAGCATACTTTTGTTCCATAAACAGTAATTATAACCCGTAATTGTGCAAAAATTCTGTCAAGAAAAATAATAAATCAAACATGTTTTCCGTAGCAGGCACGTGTTTCCCGTCTTTCGCGCAACAGCTTCGAACTAATTACGTCCGATCGTATGCTCACTTTTACTACTAGATTACTGTCCGCGTAATGCGAGCGAGTGTTTAAAAATATAAATAAAACTTGGCGTGTGTCACATACGAAATTACACTCGCTCGCTTTCGCACGTGTGACAGGCCTCGCCAGGGTGGGATTTAAATACATTAACATACCTTAAAAAGTTTCCAGCCTTCCCCCGTACCTTACGAATAACTTGGGCGCGAGAGTCTATCGCGGCGTAAAGCGTGCAAAGACACCTCCCCACGTCGTTTCGCTCCGCGCAATTGCGACGTGGCGAGCGGAAAAAAAGTGCGTCGCTCCTTCGATCGCGGCATAGATTTGCATGCATCACGTCGCGGGATTGTATTCTCTATTGAGCGGTTCATTGACTCGTGATCTATTCGTGCGTGCAGCTTCTCACGCGTGACGTTTCTTTTGCGGAGAAGGAAGAGAAAGAGAGAGAGAGGGGGCCGGGGGAGAGGGGAAGGAGAGAGAGAGAGAAAGAGAGAGATTCACGCCCTTCAGTCGCGAGATCGATCGAAACGGCACGACGCTCCCGCGAACGCGGTGGCGAGCGAAAATGAGCGGAAAAATCGTCCACAAAAGTTTCGCATACAGCAACAGGTACTTTGCAGTAACGCACCTTAGCGAGAACTCTCGCGAAGAAACCGGCGACCCGCGCAAAAAGCGGTCTTGACTAATAGAGCACTGTGATTTCGGAAAATACGGTGCAACTTTTTAACGTTGAATCAAACAAAAAGACTTGCCAACTTGTAAATTTTAGATCAAGTTGCACGCAAATATATGTACCAGCTTTAGATCTTTACGACGCAGAAATCTCATGGGAAATATAATAAACGATAGAGGATTAAATAATGAAGCAATTATGACGGAGTGAGTATAAGTAGTTGTCGCTCTAAATTATCGTTGATTTCTTTCCCTCTCGCGAGAGGAAGATCGCGGGGACTCGGATCGATTGTGTCGATTCGAAAGACGCCACTGCGTCAACAATCCTGTGTCACGCGTCGCGCGTATCCTGCACGGTTCTCTGGTGCATTAGGCATGACATCGGCCCGATGTTGCGCTACAGGGGACACGTTACTTCAGGGTCCATCCTATTTTACGCGAGATGCGCTCTACGATCGCGTAAAAGAGGCCCCGCGCGGTGCCGGCCTGTGTGAAATATAAATACACGGGAATACGTTGGAATGAAATGCGGACTGAAGAACCGCCGAGGGCTTGCACGTTCCCTCTTTAAAATGCTTATCACGAACGTTGTCTCGCGCAGAATTTTCCAACAGATCCCAGAGGGTATACAATTGTATGCCATCCCTCTCAATTTTGTCTAAAATATTCATAACGAGGAAGCACACGCGGTCGTCGATTTTCAAGCTATCATATAAAATGAAAACTCTGGTCTGCTTCGCGCGTCAATAATTGACGTATCCGGAATACATATTCGTGTATTCTGACATCGTCAGTCATCCACGACGGAGGTTCGACCGCGTTCGAGACATTCGATACGCAATCGCGACGGACAACAACGGCGCGCCGTGAGATTTTTGTGTAATAATACTTGAAAGCAGCGAGCACGCGATACTTAATCGATAGCTACGCGTCGTCACATACCCGCGACTATTTGACTCTCGACTCCGATTAATCTCCCGAAACGGAGGTGGGCACTCCGACGTGAAAACGACGTAATGTTAGGCGCGCAAGACGAGGGGCCCGTTCGCGGGGCCCGGCGGCGCGGCGAATACTACGTAAACGACTCCCTCGCATGCTTCTTACCTATGTTACAAGCCTGGGTGACGGGCAGGGGTGCGCAGCAACGCCCGCCAAGGGCCGTGACCCTTATCCGGGGGGTACCAACCCCCCCGGGGCCCCCTCCCCCGCCCCCGGCGCCCCCGTAGCCCTCCACCTCCCCAGCCGCGACCGCGGCCACCCCTGCCCCCACTCCCTCGCCGGGCCCGGGACCAGCACCAGGCCCACCTTCCACGGGCCCGTATCGGCCGAACGGTCCCGAGGGCCCCAGTGCACCCACTTTTACTGCGTTGTTATCCCAACGGCCGTTAAATCGCACTTCTCACACTTTCTCCCCCCGGTGCCAGCGACGGCGCAGCGTTCTACTTCAACTCGCTTCCGCGCGTCACTCACTGCAAAATCTTCCGCCCGCGCCTACGTTTACCGCGCGCGGCTCTCTCACCCCCTTCGCGACGCGCGGCACTCCGATCTCGTTCCTGGTCTCGTTCGTGAAGACACGGGGTTGTCAACCCCTCGGACGGCGCGCGCGTTCTCTCAGCTGTCGTCCTGAGAGCGCTTTGTCGTCCACATTGCGACCCGGTCTCCGCTTGCTGTCTCTCTATCTCTCTCTTTGATCTCTTTAACGTCTCTTCTGGAGCACTAGGTACCCCGACACTCGTCCGCTCACAATCCTGCCCGAGATACGTGCATCTCGCGCGCCGTCATGACGCCGCTCGTCCCAAGTGTCGCGATTGATCTCGATCCAGCGCGACCTTCACGGAGGGTGGTTGTCTCTCGGAATCTTTCAACGCGAAGGAGCCCCTGCAACCCACGTCGAGCCGATCTCTCTTTCGGATCTCACTCGACTCCGCCGGCGAGTCGAGCCCGTGGACGCGAGAATAGCGGCGTGCGTCGCGCTCTCGTTCGTTTCATGCACTCTCGGGGATGATCCCGAGTGTCGGCCGCGACGGACTTGTGGATCGGCGCGCGAGCCGCTGACCAATGACGCGCTCTCTCTCTCTCTCTCTTTCTCTCTCGCTCGCCCTGTCCTGGCCTGCCTGTCCCAAGGGGGGACCGGACCGGAGAGGATGCCGGCGCACGGCGCACGATACGTCACGTCACGGCAGCGGCGGAGCGAACACGACGATGACGCGAGCACGCTCGCCTCGAGTTCGCCAACCAACTGGCTGCACCTGCGGTGTCCGCCAGCGACCCCCTCCTCGTCTCTCACCCGGCGTTCCTCCACAACTCGCGCAACCGACGTGGAGCTGCAGCTACGCCCATTGGCCACGACCACCGTGGCGAACGTGGCGCGGGGACGTTGGATTGGCCGGCGACGGGAGACACGGGCGTAGCCAAGCCGGAGCGCCGCCAGACATGGCCGTGGAATGGCTGCGGAGTCGCGTTCGCTTGCGAGAGGCGCTTCCGTCGTTGCTACTGCTGCTTCTGCCGCTGTTGCTGCTGCTGCTGCTGTTGCTGCTGCTGCTGCTGGCTAGCTGGCTGGCTGGCTGGCTGGCTGGCTGGCTGCTGTTGTTACTGGAAATAGGCTGGTGGTGCTGCCGCTGTCGCCGACACCACCGCCGACGCCGACGCCGACGCCGACGCCGACGCCGCCACCACCGCCGCCGCCACCGCCACCGTCGCCGTAGCCGCTTGCTCCTCTTCGTCTGACACGCTATCGATCTCGCGGCGTCGCGGGAGACGAGAGGGTAGACCGCCTCGCGAAATGCCACAGGTTTCAGGGAATCTTTACCTTTCGCGCCCGCGAAGTGTGTCCTCCACCTCCTCCTCCTCCCGCTCTTCAGACCCCTCTCACCACTCGCCACGCCGCGCCGCACCGCGCCGCTTCCACTTTGCCGTTCTATCTGGTCTTCTGCATCTCTACCTCTCTGCCTTTCTTTCCGAGTACCGTTCGTTGTCTTCTTCCTTCGTCGGCCCTCCGATATCGCCCTTTCACGTATGAACATCCAACTCCCGCCCCTCCTTCTCCATTGTCCTCCGTCGCCGCCGGTGAGAGACTCTCTTTCCCTATGTTTTCCGTGTCTATTCTCGTTGGCCTATCTATATCGCTTCTTAAGTGTCCGCCTATCTTTCTTTTCCCCTCTGTGACGTGATAGTCTTTCTTCGCCCCTCTCTGAACGGGGCGAGCGCATGTCCCCTCGCTTGCCGCCGATGACTCGACGCGATATTGTTATCGCCAACATTCTCATCCTTCTGTCTCCCGCGCCTCTCAACCTCCGTTAATTTCTTTCGTCCTCCCCTTTCCTTTCCTTCCACGTTCCTGCGGTCCGCCTCTACTTGTTCCTTTTACCAATCCGTCAGCCCTTCTTCCTCTCTTCCCGGTTGCTTCTTTATTCCCCGCCGCCTGTCGATCGTACTTTTCTCTCGTACACTCCCGCTTCCTTCATCGTCATCTCCCTTTTTCTTTTTTTTCATCCTGCCTTCCGTGCCTACCCCGTCATCATTCCTCCTCTTTTACCGATCCGCGCTCCTCTTCCCCGGTTTACTCTTCTCTCTACGTCGTCTCGCGTCGTCGTTTTCTCTTGCTCCATCTTGCTCTACCCTCTTTCTCCTCTCCAGCCTCCAGTTTCCTTTATCCTCTATTCTCATACATTTTCTGTATTTCTCCGTCGTTTCGCAACTTTGTTTTACCCCACACGCGCCAGTGCGTTCGCGAAATACGGCGCGTTATCGTGGGGTGCGAGTACCCAGCTCCGACACGCGCTCCTTTCTATCGATTAAAGGACTCTCCACGTGCCATTAACCGAGTGGCCGAATGCTGCTACACTGCTGCTGCGACAGTCTCGCTTCGCGGCGCGAGCCGTGGATCGAAGCGCGAGCGAACGTGTTCGTCTTGACCCCGGAAAATGTTAGCGGCGAAATGTCGAAGTCTACAGTTCGTCAAGTACATTAAAACTTGCATCCTTTCCACTGCTACGAAATCGAGGCTCGATTTCCGCAAAATTTCATCGTTTATCGAATCTACCAATATCTATTATTCCCATTCGATCTTGTAAAGGAAATAATACCTTAATCGTTAAGAAAAATATCGGAAAAAACCCAGCGAGATTTAACCTCGATCTACAATGTGTTCTTTGCGTTCTATTTCATACAAGCGAATCAAAACTTATCGACAATGCACGATTGGATGCAAATTGTATAATCTATCAAATTGCACACATTTTTTAAACGTATTGGCTACAAAAAATGGAATGTTTCTAGACGCAAAGAGCACGTAGAGGCGCCGCGAAACACCCGGTACAGGGTGGCATCGCGGAGGATATTTCACGCGAGTCGCAGATAAACCGGCGCGCATCGCCTTCGCGTTTCTTCTTCCTAATCAGGACCAACGGCGGCTTAATGGGCCCCTCTATCGCTCGACCGTAATTCGCCGTAATTAGCCGTAAAAAGAAACCGGCTTCCATAAATTATATTGTCGCGCTCGGTTAGGCTTATTACGAGGGTCAGGTCGGGGGCTACCGAAAAGCTAACGCGAGATTATCACGGCCTACCGTGAAAAATCGTTCGCCCGCCGCGCCAGCTCGAGATGTCAATCATAATGGCGAGAATCAAAACATCGTCACGGTTTGTTTTTGCCAGATCGGAAGCTAGTGGCTACGTCGATCGGCGACTCAATTCTTGAATCCATTCGCGAGAGAAACGTACGCGAAAATCTTGCTCTCACAGAAAAGTTGCTAGTTGACAAATTGGCTATTCGCCTGGCCTTTAGTCAATCGATTTGCAGCTACTTATATTCTTGAATTCATTCGCGAGAGAACGTATGCGCAAATTGTGCTCTTACAGAATTGTTGCAAGTGGATTGGCTAAAAGTTATGCGACAACCAATCAACTTGAAACTTTTTTATAAAAGTTTATAAAAGCAGAATTTGCGCATACGTTTCTCTTGTGAATAAATTAAAAATCTAGCCCTGCACACAGAAAAAAAGATTTTTTAAAAATATGTTTAGTTTTACCGTAAAAATTTTTAAATGAAACTATATTTGGTTAAAGTAAGGAAAACTTACTTGAATGAAACAATTTTTTATATATTCATAATCAAGAAAAATGTACGCTTATTATTTAAGAATAATTTTCTTGAATGGAAAGAAAACAATATTAGATAGAAAATAACATATTTTCAAATAGAAGGTTATAATGATTTTAACGAGAGGTAATCTTCAATGTCGCCAGTAGTAATTAAAAAACTTCAATGATTACTTAACCATTCCTGGCAAATTTGTAATGTTTAGGCTCACAACGTTTCGACCATGGTTTGTGGTCCTTTTATTATCGAAATAATTATATGTAGAAAGGAGAGAGTGCCAGTGTGAGCCACAAAATGAACGGAACTCGGTTCTCACAATATAGAATCAAAATTTTCTCTTTAATAGCATAAAACGTTTCAACCCTCCTTCGGGTCTTCCTCAGTAAAACTACATTGAGATTATCGAAAGTACAGGATAAGAATACAGTAAAACTTCTGATACAAATTGGTTCAACAATAATAATCAGTTACCTCGTTTAGTTCGAATAAAGCATAAGGCAATTTCTTAGGGGATCAGAGCACTATGTGACTTCAGCCTTATGCTTTATTCGAACTAAACGAGGTAACTGATTATTATTGTTGAACCAATTTGTATCAGAAGTTTTACTTACACGTACGTTTCTTTCGCGATTGGATTCAAGAATCGAACCCCGGAAGGAGTGTGCATGTGTATGCGTGTGCCCGATAAAAGCCTGGCGGGATTCGGGACTTGATATCCGTCTTCTTAATGTCGGTTCAACCTCGCGGTAACGGCGGGCGGCTGCGCTCGGAGATTGTATCGTAATTAAAAAAATAAAATAAAGGCGGCACGGGGTTCCGACTACTTCCCGATTCCCGGGAGACTTGGTAGAACAGGTTGCAGGTAATGCCGCGCGGCAATGTCTCGAAAAGGACACGTGGAAAAGATATCGCGCGTTACGCGACACTGCAACGACATACGTCACGTTACCGCGAATGCGTTTCGCCGGCGGAGTTTCGCTGCTGCGTTACGCAATCCCTCCCGAAGGCGAGGGCTCTCGAGAACACGGCCGTTGAGTTATCGCGATATCTCGCGACGAG